CTTGGGCTCACAGGTCCTCCCCATACTTTGCGGTCCCTGTCACATTGCGTGAGAGATCTTGGCCCGATCAGTTGCACGCATCTTACAGATGTTAGGACTGCTAATCCGACCACAAAAGGTATTCAGCCTACCACAGTAGTAGCTGAGCGCTTTACTGGCTCCCACCGACAATTAGTTAAATGGGAAGTCTTGAAATAGTAGACGCTACCGCAAAGGCAACCTGGAAACACTAATCGGTAGCTCAAACCCTTTGAAAGCTCCTTCTCGACGCCCAGTTTCTTACTGCTCAAGAGATCAGAACGTAAAGCAGCCTAGTACTATTGAATGGGAGCATCGTAAGCCTGTAGGCACTGACCAGGTAGGATGTTGCATAGCAATGGGGAAGCAATCCAAACGGACAAACTTTACTTCACTTCTCTCTTCTCTTCTACACTTTGGTTCCTTCGTCTCCATATTTACCCCTTAGTATTTTCCAAATAGCTAGTCCACTTGGTCACTTGCGAATACTTATACTTGTGACCCATGAGTCACGTCTACTAAAAACATTTTAACAACATTAAGCCTCATGTGAAATGCCAGGTTCTAGCGTTGTTGCCCTAATTGAAGCTTTCTCATTAAGTCTGAGCACTAGTTACTATAGTCAGCAGTTTCCAAACACTCTCAGTAGGTAAGAAGCAAAATAAAAAATATATTTTTCTTTTTGTTGACAATGAGCGCACTTTAAAAGTTCTAGACCCAATAATCAGACATTTTGCTCTCCACTTATACTCTCTTGGCCCCATATACTTAGCTTTATCTGGTATACGTGTGCTTTTCGCTATTGTCAACAATAGTAGACAGGCATAATGAAAACCATAGCCTCTTCTTTAACTGCTTTTGCTCGTAAAACACACGCATTTCCAGATTTCATTTCACTGGCACGAAAGCTAACCAACGACAGAGAGGCCCGTCACACTGGCTGGCTGGAGCACCAGAAACTTTCCATCACCACTTTTCTTATCTTGGCCGTCCGTGTGTCATTTATCTTTCAGCTGGCTCCAAAGGCTACCATGCGCTATGCGTAATGGCGGGTGAACGACCAGCCCCCACTGGTTTTTGTTACAATTCTACTCCTGATTTACCTTATCGCTCTTTGCTTAGGGTGCTAGAACAGCTCTTGCCAGGAAAATCACAAAAGAAATAGTCGGTGTGACATTAGAGTACCAGTTAACATTGCCAACTGCAAGAACACCGCCGGCACTATCTTCGGAACTTAAAAATGGAGAGAAATAAATCGAAATTCATCAAAGAGCTGCACACTAGTGTGCATCTACACATGAGGCATAACAATACCTCAAGTATTAGCAAGCTCAAACACCAGAAGTAGAATTGTTACAGCACAACCAATGTAGACCAAAACGGATTTCACGCCCAAATGCAATTAGCTAAATTTTACTAAATTTTCCCATGCTTATTTCTTTATTATTGGTGGCAGGCTCCTATAGCTCACTGACGTTAGAGACAGAGCCTCATGAATATAGAAAATCGGCTCTAAGGGATAAATCTTGTGATGTTAAGCTAAGTAACGTGTCAACGGATCTGAAAGATCCC